GATTCTCTCCCCCATCCCACCGGGGGGGAGTGAGCGAGCGGCTGCGTGGTGCTTAGTTGCCGACTGAGATTAAACCACGACAGTAGTAATCCTGCTGGTGTGTTCAGTGGGTGAGCTATTATTTTCTGTCATCTAATCATTAGCTCCTTGTAAGTTTCTGATAAGTGCATCTGGAAATCAGATGCCTTTCCTGTCTAGAGAAATCTCAGCTTTCTTATACTGAACACATGAAACAGGTTTTTTTAAATTAATTTGTCAGAAAAAGCTCACTTTTTAACAAATATCATAAAAAAAAAAAGGAAGTTGTGAAAATGTTACATATTCTCATAATTGTGTGCTGTAGAACATCATCTACGTATACACATCTCTTAAAAGGATGAAATAATGTAGGGACAGGTGATAGCAAAATATTAACGAGGTGGAGGAGCAATGGGTGTTAAGTATCCTGTGAGTTATTCACTTTGTTGCTTTATATGCAAGGTTTTTACATTCATCGCTGTTCCTATAGTTGGAGACCTGACAGTGTGTCTCTTGACGCACACCGAGTAGCAGAGTTATACTTCCATGGTCCGATTCTGGTAAGGGGCACTGCTGGGTGTGATGAGAAGGGCAGGGAAAGTTACCTTTCCTTAAAACAGAAGCGCAGCCCTGAGAAAACCTAGTAAGGAGTTTTGATCCCAAGTAACTCTTCCTTTGCTGGAAAGCCCAGCTGTGCAATGACTTTTAGAATTTCTTTCTAGGATCAATCCTTCATTTTAGCTGTTAGTAAAAGAGGATAAAGTTTGAGGCCTCCAAAGGGTAGAGTTGTAATTTACGATCTTGAATGAAATGAAAATAAAATACCACAGGAGCCTTTACTGCATTTTGGGCAATGTGGAACTTCTGACACCTTTTGATACAGGCTGACATTTTATGGTTGAACTATAAACTATTTACCAGAAGATAAAACTTTGATTACTTGGTTTTAAAGACTTACTAGACACCTCTTAATATGAGCTTTCACCACTGATCCATAGTGTACAGTATTCAGGTATATGAGAAAGTAGTAGCACTTGGGCAGAGGGGGGACCGGCCTGCTGTGATGAAGTTTGCTGTGTCAGCTTTTGGAGCACAGCTGCTGGCTACTACTCGGTTTATCGTTTTGACCTAGAGCTATTCCAGGTGCTCTTGGGCTACATGAAGTTAATGCTTCCCTGCTTCTCTCCTGCCTCTAATGTTCTTCATCTGCTGCGTTCTCAGCATGTCTTATGCAGGGAAGCAGAAGAGGAGTTTGCAGTTTGTATCTGTCTCTACTTTCACCTGCTTTGCAGCATATTCTGCTACTTCTAGACACCACAAACCAAGTCCTTAGTAGCATGTAGGTGCCTGACTCCATTGCATAACATTCCTCTGAAGAGATTCAACTGTTTTTCTCCTCTCTCTGTGCACCCAGTCCTGTCTGGCACAAATCCATTTTGTGATGCTTGTAAACCAGAGCAATGCTCTTACTAAGATTTGAAAGCCTACTTGCTCAAAATTGAAACATCCTAAAATTGTCTGCATTGTAACTTTGTGATCCAGAGTGAATATATTTCATCTCTTCTCTTTTCAAGGAAGATTAATTAAAAGGAAGTATTTAGGCAGCTCTTGAGCTGGCTGTTGAGAGAGTTGCTGAAATTCGAATATGATCACTCAGTGGTGCTGCAGTTTGCCAAGGTGATGTAGAAAGCTGCGAGGGACAGCTCGGTGTAGCTCTTCAGCCAGGGTTCCTTTGGGGAGTCATGTCCAGAAACTTCTCTTTACATTCTTGTTTCTAATGCCTGTTTTTGTGGTTTCAGGCTGTGTTACTCGGATTTCTCCTTGGATAAAGCTGACTGGAAAAAGTTTCATCCAGATTCCTTTTTTATAAGAACTTCTTAGATTTCTTAGTATAGTCTTTGTAGATGTACATTTTTGTTTGAGCTTTATCTGTTTCAGAGACACCCAAGCTCTACAGTTAAGGTGTTGTTATGTTTTCTACTGAAAACAGAGTTGATATACTGATTTTCTACATTTGAGTAACTGAGTTCTGCCTCCAAATTACACAAACAAAATTTTCCAAAGAAAAATGTAGCTTTTGTGATAAAAGTGATGGGATTCTTTTTCTGGATGGAAAAAAAAATAATTTCCCTAAAGTATGCAATTCATCAAGAGAAGCTGGACTGCCATGTTAGATGTTAGAAGAGCTCTTTATTACCTTTGAGAGGAGAAATCCTTTGATAAATCTTTTTATTTGTAGCGTATGGAAGCATACTGAAAGAGGAAATGGGTCTGCTCTTATCCTAAAATAAATTCCTTTGTAAACCTGTCATTACCTTAAAATTGCATCCTTTGAGGTCCTGAACAGTTCTGTAACGTGCGTAGAAATATCAGGAGGTTCATCACTTTTGAGGCTGCTAGCTGAAGTTCAACTGACATGTTTGCATTGCTTTAGCTTTTTAGGTTTGAATTAATCTTTCAGTGCCCAGTTTGGGAGAACTGTTATCTTGTCGAATTACGTCTCGGGCAGACTTGCATCTTTTACACTTATACTAACAAATAGTACTTTTTCCTTCAGGATATTTTATGAGTAAAAGTAACAAAAAAACCCTTGTTAGTAACAGACATGAAGATGATTATGGACAGTTAAGAATAAATTTTCTGTACCTCTTGCAAAGATTATTTGAATTAGTATTTTAAATTTTCAGCTACAGTAACTTTCCATGCTTCCAAGTAAATTCAATGGAGAAATGCTGAAAGATGCTAGATTTTCAGCTGCTAGCTGTCAGGCTTTTAGCACAGGGGAAAAGGTAAATAGAGTGAGACCGGGGAGATGCAGTTCATTATAGCCCTTGGGGTCTGAAGAGTTAAACTTCAGAGAAGGTTGAAGTCACTTTAACTTTTTCTATTCCCTTTAAATCTTCCATCTTGAATTGGCTGTATCCTAATCATAACTGTTCTTCTGTATTCAAAAGAAAAAAGGGTGTTTCAAAATGCAAGTGGACTTGTTTGCCTTTAGATTAAAGAGAGGTTCTTTCATGAGATAAGTTTTTGGTTTTGAAAATTCAGTTTCTTGTTCTGCTTCTGAAGAGTTGGGAGTGTTGTGCTTTACTTATGTAACCTGTGTTTAAAAACCAATAAATTAAACCTTCCACAGAATAGCAGAGTGGGTTGGAGATGCCTATCTGGATAATACCAGTAAAAAATTTACTCCAGATCCTGCTTTTCAGGTTATTTGGGTTGAAAAGGTGTTCTAAATTAAAATATCTTCTATTTTGCTCTCTGAGCCACCATCTCCCTCATCTCTGACAGGCTGTAGCATCAGACAAGAGCCCTTCTTTTTGTTCCTGACTTTCACCTCATCCTAAGCTCTTATTGCTCCTTCCAGCTTCATTTCTGACCTTTCACAGATTCCACTTGCTTAAGGCAAACATAAGGAGGGAGGCCAGCCCATTCTGATCAAAAGATTATTGACCCTAATCATACAAAAAAGGTGCTTACGAAAGACTTTAAATAAACTAACCAGTTTATTATTGAAGATTTTTCAGTTTACTTAAGTTGTGTTTTTTCGCTCCTTCCTAACATTTAGGTTCATGAGTAACACACAAAGATGTGCCTTCTCTTTTTTTTTTTTATTTTTTAATTTAATGGCTGTCCTTAAAAATATTTATTACTATTTTAGGGAAAAACATATTATCCAAAGTACTACAATGTAATAGCTGTTAGTTAAACTGGTAACACTTGAAAATCAGAAGTGAAATGCAGTTTTGAAGATGGAATATTCTTGTTTTTCCAGGATGCTTGCCAATCTTACCCTTTTGAGATTCTTATAGTAGGTCTCTTGATAAATTGATTTTATGAATGTCTGAATTTAATTGGAATGACCATATATGAGTGTCCATATTATATTAACCCCTAATCAAGCA